GTTTTGGTGATGCTGAGTAGAAGGTATTTCAAAAGGATGACTGACAGGACTGGGCCAGTAATTGGATATGGGATCCGCTCAGGAAGTAGGGCTCCAGGATATCTGTCACCTAATCAGGAAAATCCTCTCTTGCTGGCAGGTGATCACGTATTCCACTAGGACCCAAGGAGTTGTCAATGTGAACCACAGATGACAGATTAAGAGGCAGGGTAGGTCTCCTAGCCCAATACTCTTTTGTTACATATAAGCAAACTAAGGCTTATAGAAGTCCAACCATCTCTCCCTTTCTCCTGGTCCCTTCCTCGAAACCACATGGAAGGAAAAATGCTTGACCTGCCCCGGACCTGAGTCCATGGTGCAGGAGAGAAGCACCTCAGGCCGAGAGCCAGGAGGCCGCAGGTGAGAAGCTGCAGTACCTCTTCTTTAGACTCTTTCTCATGTCCTCCTTTCTGAATCTGTCTTCCTCCACCCTTCAGCCCCTGCCCCCCGGGTGGTCTCTGGCTGTCACAGCTGTGATGCCAGCTTCCTGCTTGCCCCAGACACTCAGCCCCAGGAGGCCCAGCCCCATTACGGCTCTGCCAAAACAACATCTGGGGAAGCTCCAATAGGTCCAGGGCCTCTTCTCTTGTTTTTCGTCTGGAGATAAAGGGGATTTATCCTGGGCCCCTGGGAGTGAGGATGAGGAGGGTTTACAACATGTCTGTCTTCTAAATTTGGGAAAGAGGCAATAAATTCAGCTTCAGATCTGCTTCTGTCCCAAGTCCATGTGTTCCCCTGTGAGTTTCCGGCACTTTCAGTCACACCTTCCCCTATCATAGGAGAAGGCCTAGAGGGAGAAGGTGTGGGAGGTCACATTCTTGGGGGGGCCTCCAGGACAACAGACTGTTAGCAGATCATTCCCATCCTTTTGCTCCTGATACACCGAGGGAGTCGCAGAAACAAAAACACATCACTAGGGACCTTTCCAGCCAAATATTGGTCTGGCCATCTGTCCACGTCTCCCCCCTCTCCCCAGCTCCCGCCTCATCCTCTCTTCACTCTCTCTCCTGTACCCCCAGCCATCCTTCTTGTCTTCACTCTTCCCTGACCACACAGCCAGGCTGGCAAAGGAGGGTGAGAAGTCCAGATCATTCCTCTTCCCACAGACACTAGTGGGTTAGTAGGGCACAGCAGCTGAGGAGCAACCCTCAGGGGAATACGTGCCTTTGGGGGAGCAGATTCCTTCCCCAGATGGGGCCTGGCATGGAGTCAGCTTTAGTTATAAGCTTGATGAATTCCTAACAGTTTCCAGCCCCTCCCTCCCAGAAGCGGTAGAGTGGGCCTGTGTGGGCCAATGCGATGCAGAGTAGTACAGGATAAAGAGGTGAGTTAGGGGAGCATACAGCCTGCATCCAGGACCCTGGAGGCCCTGTCCCTGCAAGACACGGAGACCACTCTGCAGTCGTCAAGGCAGTGGCTGGCCTCTGAGAGCAGAAGTGGCAGTTCCCTGGAGATTGTCTTTCTCTGCCCTGTCCAGCACTCTGGGTCTCATATCTCAGTTGCCAGGTCTCTCTCCTGGAATCCTGTGTTTGATTGCCACCTCCAAGGCCCAGCCAAGCCTAACATCCTCACTCTCCCTCTTTGGATGCTGGTCACTGTCCGAAGGGCACATGTTCTCATCCCCATTCCACTGTGGGCGTGCTCTGTGCTAGTCTGACTCTCACCACCCTCCTTTCCAAACCCTTTCATTGAGCCCCCTTTGGGCCCAGAAAAGTCCCCTATATCCTCATCCCCTCCAAGCATTTTCTCCATCTCCTGGCATTCCCTCAAACGGGCTGTGTCAAGAGAAACCTGTTTTTCTGCCTTACCCAACACCCCTCAGGATGAGGCGGCAGGGACCAATGCTTTCTTGCTCTGTGTTAGCCTTTCCCTGCCGTCATTCCTCGTGCCTTTCTCCAAAGTTCATTTACCCCACTGTCTTGTCATCATGGGCCCTCTTGGCCGCTGCGAGGCTCAGGGCCTTTCTCTGTACTCTAAATTCCTGCTGCCACCTGAGGAAATATCAACTTCTATGTGAGTAGCTGAACTCATCCTTCTCCTGGGCTCCGTGTGTCTCCAAGTGACCATCTCATACACTCAGCCTCCAGCCCTCACCCCCAGATAGACACTTGGAATGCTAACACCAACTCCCAAACCCACAGCAGTCCACCGCTGGCTCCCAGGGGAACCCAATAAATATTCCTTGAGTAAGTAAATACATGAATAAAGCCAGGGTCACATGATGGGAGTCTGGCCTAATGGAAAGGGCCCTGGACTGGGTGGGAGATCTAGGTTCTAGTCCTAGCCTCGCCACTAGTAGCTGTGTGACTTTGGACATTTTTTTTTTCATCTCACAGCTTTCTTTTCTTCATCTGAAGAATTAAAATTTTTGTGTAGATGATTTCTGAAAAGCCTGCTTCTGACAGTTGGCAATTATGAGATATGGTTTGCTGAGCATCTGTAATATTTAGGTACTATGCTAGGTGCTTCCTATAAATTACCTCTCATATACCTAATAACTAAAGGCCAGGCGAGGTGGCTCACACTTGTAATCTAGCACTTTGGGAGGCTGAGGTGGGTGGATCACGAGGTCAGGAGTTCAAGACCAGCCTGGCCAAGATGGTGAAACCCCATCTCTACTTAAAATACAAAAATTAGCCAGGCGTGGTGGCAGGTGCCTGTAATCCCAGCTACTCGGGAGCCTGAGGCAGGAGAATCACTTGAACCCGGGTGGGCAGAGGTTGCAGTGAGCCGAGATCTCGCCATTGCACTCCAACCTGGGTGACAGAGTGAGACTTCGTCTCAAAAAGAGAAAAAAAAAAAAATATATATATATATAATATACACACACACACACGTAGTTATATAAATATATACATATACACACACATAGTGAATAACTGATTCAGTAGTTTGAGGTGGGTGGGGTCCGGAATCTCAGGGAGAGGCTGCATGAACTGAATTTTTATCAGACTTCCCGGGTGATCTGAATGGGTATCCTAAGGCCCCTTGGTACGCAGCCATTTGAATGTCAGATGAGACATTTTTAATTAGTACTACAGGCAATGGGACGCTATTGAAGGTTTTTAAAGCAGAAAAAAGAAGGGTAATACTATGGAGAGAGAGAAAGAACTAAGAAACAAGGAAGAAGGGAGAGAAGTATCTTTGATCTGTTACATGTTGAGACTGAAACACCAGAAAAATGCTCCAAAGGTGTCCACCTCTCAATTGGAAAAAAAATGAATTGGAAGCTCTGTAATAAAGGTGAAATTAGAGATGACGATTTTGAGATTTATTCTTTATGAGGAGATGTAAATTCAAATACCTCCAGAATCAAGGCAGGTAATGTAAATGAGGATTAAGTATAATTAAAAAAAAAAACAGCATTCATCCTTACTAAATGGCAAGTACCACTTTGTCTCAGCAGGGATGCAGTAGGTAATGGTGGAGACTGTGGTGAGCTAGAGGACATACTCCCTGTCTTAGGGGCCAGTTATTGCCAAATAGAAGTGTGGGATCAGTGTTAACAGATCTTCTGCTTTTTACAGAGAAATTCTAGATGTTTTCATTTTGACACTTCCTAATTATTAAATGTTCACAACGAATTTTTTAAGTGCTTAAACACTACACAGACAAAACCATTTGTATCTATGTTCAGCTTTGCCTTGAGGGGTTCCAATTTGTGACTTCCGAGCTGCACAGATGGGATTCAGGAGAGAGGGTTGAGTGAATTGAGAAGAAATCCAGGGGCTGCACTGTGAAGAACCATGGCCCTCCCAAGCACCCAAGCTTGCCTGGCGGTGAGCCCGGGGCTTAGAGAGACCCTGGTGCTTTTGGCCACTGGGTGTTTGGTGAGCTCCCAAGTTGGTGGCAGCAAGTGAAGCCTGCACCTGCCACGGCTATTTCTGCTCATCAGTTGGAAATCATGTGGGTAGCCTCTGAGGTCCTGGTACCTCCGGGGTTAGATGCCACCTTGGGGAGGGGCCTGCAGCCTTCACTCCACCACTCCATGTAGTCACTTTCATCCCAAACTGTGAAGATGCTCTCTACCCAGGAGTGTCTGAGTCCTGGCTGGAGTGGGCATCTTGTTTAACACATCTTAGACACTTACTTTGTATCAGGACATTCTTCTGTTGTCTAATTTAAGCGCTTTTTGTACAATTTAATCTTTTTTTGCTTCTTCTATCTTCAGAACAAGTGGTGGAATGGGTTACTCCTTAGCTTCCACACTCTTCTTCAGCCTTCAGTAGGGTCTCAAAAAGCCCCAGGCTGGGCGCGGTGGCTCACGCCTGTAATCCTAGCACTTTGGGAGGCCAAGGAGGGCAGATCACAAGGTCAGGAGTTCAAGACCTGCCTGACCAACATGATGAAACCCTGTCTCTACTAAAAATACAACAACAACAAAAAAATTAGCTGGGGTGGTGGTGTGCATCTGTAATCCCAGCTACTTGGGAAGCCGGAGACAGGAGAATCGTTTGAACCCGGAAGGCAGAAGTTGCAGTGAGCCAAGACCGCACCACGGCACTCCAGCCTGGGTGACAGAGCGAGACTCCGTCTCAAAAAAACAAAAAACAACAAAGTCCCATCTCAAAAAGTGTCCTCAGGGATGTAAAACTTGTTACCTGCAGATGAGAAAGCTGTTTGCTTACTGATGTGTTAGCAAGCCTTCCTTCAGTCTAGATGGGTAGTTTTCTGCTTACCCTCAACCCTAATCATCTTTGCATTATCTATTTCTGTCCCTACTCTCAGTTCATTCTGGGGTGGAGGAAGGGGTTCAAACCAGAAATATTAAAAATAGCTACCTTCCTGTAGTTCTCATTAGCAGGTTTTAGAGACAATGTCATTTTCTCCTCTTCTTAAATTCTCTTCTGATTCTAAAGAATGACTCCCAGACTGGCTGGCCTAGAACTGACCTTGAAAGGTTCAACTTTGTGAGAAACTGATAGGGAACCCCCAAAGATGTCCTGATCGTTACCCAATGATGCTTGCAAAGAGTTGTGATATATTTAGCAGTATCTCCACCCTGATTAGGAAGTGAGGAAGAGGCAGCTGGTCTTCCCCGGGTGATGTTTCTTATCAGCTCTAGTCAGCACAGTCAAGTTGTCACCAATGAGGTCTGTTAAGAGGAAAGATCAAATTAGTATTTGCACCAGCTATACTCAGACATACTCCACCAAAATGTACACTCTATCATAACATTTCACAAGACGTCCTTCTTCAACAGATACCACTGTATGTGCTTATTAACATAGCAAACACATATCCATATCCCCTGCTACCCACACACATCAGAGCCCAAGTGCAATCTAAGTATGTATGCTCACTCAAATATATATACTAATAACTCCCTAACCACACTGACACACACACACAGACCAACAAAAAATACACTCTGCATGGTGTAGAAATGACCTGATGTTATCCTCCTAGAATATCTCAGCCCAGCCTCTGCCTGCCTCACTCAACCTCAGGTTTCTACCTGTGCTCAGAAAATTGAGGCAACCAAGCCAAGTCCCCACAGGCCCAACAGGGCTCTGGGAAAGACAGAAATTACTTACAAAGATCCAGTTGCTTCTGAGCTGGAAATGGAGAGCAGGGCTGCATGCTAACCCCACAAACAGGGCCAGCACAGAGGCCTGAGGAGTGGGACCCACTTCTGAATGGGAATATGGTCTGAAGAGAGCAGATGGGTCACTCCTGAGTGGGTCACACAGGTGGGCCATGCAAGTGGGCGAGGTGAGCAACCAGGACTAGAGGAATCAATAGGTCTGAGGTCAAATGGGACAGAAGTTCTGGTCCAGATGAGGCATAAATGAAGTCCACCCTCACTTCTACCACCCCATTCCCCCTCTTCAGTGGGTGAAGTCACTGGTCAGCACATGTCAACATTTAAAGTTCAAAATTCAACCCAAGACCCTTGGGTGGGAGTGGAGGGAGGGAGAGAAGAATGAGGAGGAAGAGGAGGAGGAGGAAGGGCAGGAATGGAGAAAGAGAAGCAGGAAGGACAGGTGGGGAGGGAGAGGCGACCCATTCTCCTTATCTTGCTGCTCAAACAGCACCTTGATTATACCAAGGAATGGGAAGCAACAGGCAACATGCAAAGAAAAAAAGCAGGGGTGACAGCTTGACTTTTAGAGCTTCTAAGGATTCTAGTCCTAGCAATTTAAGAGCAGTTTCAGGAAATTTCAAAAACGATTGGGACTACTATAATGTATTTGTTCAGAAACTGTTGAGAACCTAAATCCAGAGTTGAGTACAATTACACCGTATGCATATGTATATTTTTAATTAATTATTTTTTATGTTTTGAGATGGATTCTCACTCTGTTGCCCAGGATGGAGTGCAGTGTCGTGATCTCGGCTCACTGCAAACTCTGCCTCCCGGGTTCAACCGATTCTGCTGCCTGAGCCTCTGGAGTAGGCTTTACCAGCGCCCGCCACCACACCCAGCTAATTTTTTATTATTATTATTATTATTACTTATTTTTAGCAGAGACTGGGTTTCGCCATGTTGGCCAGGCTGGTCTCAAACTCCTGTCCTCAAATGATCAGTCTGCCTCAGCCTCCCAAAGTCCTGGGATTACAGGCATGAGCCACCACACCCGGCTACGCTATATATTGACTTGGGAACTTTGAATGTGAGATAAATTAAGCTTCCTCTCCCTAGGCTTGTGTACAGAAAGAAAAGAGGAGAGTCTAGGCACAATGGCTCACACCTGTAATCCCAGCACTTTGGGAAGCCGAGGTGGGTGGATCACGAGGTCAAGAGATCGAGACCATCCTGGCCAATATGATAAAACCCCACCTCTACTAAAAATACAAAAATAGCTGGGCATGGTGGCACATGCTTGTAGTCCCAGCTACTCGGGAGGCTAAGGCAGGAGAATTGCTTGAACCCGGGAGGCAGAGGTTGCAGTGAGCTGAGATCAGGCCACTGCACTCCAGCCTGATGACAGAGCGAGATCCCATCTCAAAAAAAAAAAAAAAGAAAAAAAGAGAAAAAGAAAAGAGGAGAAAGCGGGGGCACTGCCTTCTGGTATTTATGGATCATCTCTGCCCTACACAAAGTTCACAAACTAATTACCAATGAGGAGGCCAAGACACACCCCGGGTAACGGTGGAGACAAAGGGTTCCAGCCTCCCGGCTCCTGTCCCATTCACTACATCATCTGCAATGACAGCTCTGTCGGACGGCGGCCCATGCAACAGCAGCAGAAGGGCACCACAGTCTAATGAAAAGGTCCCATACTTGAAGTCAGAAAATTTGGTCCCAGTCCTGGTTCTCTTGAGAATTCACTGTGTGGCCTGGTGAGTGACAGAAAAATCTACATAAGGACAGAATTCTATTTTCTAAAGCAAAAAACAGGTGAGGGGCTACCACAATATTTTTTTCAGCAGTGCAGTTGCAAGAGATGTTAGGCATCTCCTACGACTCACCCCTGTCACAGACATACCCAGGAAGATGGTTGGCGTTTTCAGATTTAGGTGCTGAATGACCCTATATAGCTGTCTATATCTTGACCTATTTCCCTGACTTCCTTAGTGGTTGACCTTGGTCAGTTCTGTCCTTGCTGACACCTGGTCTGTATGGTTTGGTATATCTTTAAGTTAACTTGTTTCCAGGGTCAGCCCTGTTTCCTGTAACAAATAATTCTTTCCCCTCAGTGAGGAGAAGTAATGGCCTCATCTGGCCTGATCCAGCATTTGGGGAGAAGCCAGTGAAAGAGGCTGTCTAAGAGATACGTTTAATGCCAAAATATTAGTATTTGGGGTCGTTTTGATTTGTTATATGAAGCAGTAGAGCAGCATATTTGAATTCTGAATTGTCCCAGAAATGTGGGACATGTGAGCATAGTAACCTGTTTTCAAGTAACTTGCAAACTGTGGTTGAGTCTCTAAAAAGATCACTAACAATGCCAAATGATAGATTGTGAATGCCCAGTGAATGGTATGGATGACTAACTCAGTCTCGAGAGAATGGTCAGCATAGGCTTTCAAGGTGGAAGACCAAGATTACACTGTACCTTCAGTAGTGTGAGAGATTGAGGTGGGGGTGGGGCGTGGTAGAGACAATGATGTATGCAGGAGATAAGGACATGAGCCACGGAGCAGCAAGGTCATGCATGTTCAGGCATGCATGGAATGGGGACCACGTTACAGGGCAGAGATGGGGATCATGGGCAAGCTGTTGAGGGATCCAGGCTGTAGATTCGCTGCGATACTTAGAGGGCAGTGAGAAGAGTGACCCTGGAACACAAAGTAGCAGAAACCTAAAAAGGTAGATGGGGCTAAATTATGAAGGGTCTTAAACATTAGGCAAAGGAGTCTGGACTTGAATTAGTAGACCAATCGGGGAGGGGATGTTTCGGAATGACCTGATCAAGAGAAGAGCTAGGGAATGAAGTATTTTACCAAGGGAACTCCACTAACAGTGGGAAGGGTGGCCTGGGGATGGGACTGGATGGAATCCACTGCAACCATCTAGACAGAAAGAAGCAACCGATTTGGGGACTGGATCTGGGGAGCAAAGTACAAGGAGAGGCTGATCTTTCCGTACGGAGTGACTGGGAAATGATGGTATGGCTGACAGAAATGGAGATCAAGAGGGAGCTAGCTTTGGAGAAGACAATGGGCTTCCGCTCACATTGAGGTGGTGGCTGGACATCTGAGGGAGAGGACAGAGCTGGTGGGAACAGGAGCAGGATGGAAAGACAGGAGGACAGACTGTGCAGATGAGAAAAGTCACTGTAAAACAGTAAACATCAAGACAGACTGCATGCATAGGACCTCTCCAAGGAAAGGCAGCCTAGAGAAAAGGGAGGAGGACTGAGGAGACATAGTGTGGGGAACCGGGCAGGAAGGGATCCAGGGCCAGCACAGCCAGGCAGCGGGGTGGAGAAGCCTGGGGCATAAGGAAAAAGGACAGGGACACTGCTTCCAGAAGGTGGTCAGAGGGCTCAGAGTTCAAGGAAAATAGGAATTTACAGAGGCCATTGGGTTTGAGTCACCTTACAAACACTGCGCATCTGTATGCCAGACCCTGGGCCAGGCTTCGGGGTGTTGGGTAGAAGTTATCCCCATTCGGAAGACATCCACCGAGTGCCTGTGATGGTGGCGGTCCCTGAGTGTGGAAGAGGGAGACTGAGGCCGGATTCTTTCTCGAGAAGGTCCAATCCACAATAAGGAAGGAAGACGGCTGGGGAAGGAGGGAGTGGACGGAAAAATATGTACAGTTGAGAGCAGACTACTAATTCAAAAAAATTAGCACTTAAGGAAAGTGAGAACTAGAAAAATAGTTAAGAAGAGAAAAGTCTTGCAACACACCCCCTACCCCTATCCACCATAAAACTTAGGCTTGAATGTTTCTCAGCAAGAGAAAAGGCATTGCTGCAGAACGGAACTTGTTGTGGGAGGTGGGATTACTACGGAAATAAGCAGAAGACAGCCTCCCTTTCCAAAGAGCCAAGAGGAACCCATTTCATCTAGTTAAGAGACGAGGCAAAGAGGTAAAATGGTGACAACACGTCCTGGTGAGTGGTTCTGACCGTGTATGGTTGGAAAATGCTGTGGGAATCCGAAAGGGGAACCACCTGGGAACGGTTCTGGGAAGCCTTCTGGTGGTGTCACCGAAGGCTTCTCGGAGGAGGTGGCCTCTAACCCGAGCCTTAAAAATGGGAGGAGAGGCGAGGCCGGGGCCAGCCCGGCGCGGAGTACTCGGGAGCCGCCTCCCTCCTCCAGAGCTCTCAGCCTCCTCCCCGAGCCTCGCTTTCTCCTCTCGTCTCGCTCAGCTCAGCC